GGTTTCGTTTCAAGGACTTCTGCCCCCTCGAGATTACTGCATCAACGTGTTCTCATCTGAGTATCATTACTGTCACACCGCCAACGTCTGCTGAGTGCATGGCATGACACTCTGACCGAGCGTCTTTCGACAACCTAATTGCCGCATATCATTCTCCATTGATCGCAATTATCCTGTGTAATTTGCTTATATGCTCTTCTAGCACTTAAGCGGTAGCTTAATGGCACCAGGCTCATATCGGCCTGGTGATTAATTGGTAATTAAGGTGGTGCCGGACTATCTGTTTGATGACAGGAGCGACAGTTGATTTTATCGCGATCCGCAATAGCCATTGATCGCCGATCTTTCTCACGTACCCCAGCCATTCAAGGCATTCATCGCTTTTGTTCACGATTATCTAGTATATGAAAACACAGCACTGGCAGAGTTGTGGCTAATTGCCGGGATTGTAGATCACTGTGTGCCACGCTGGCATTCCAAAAGCTTCTGTTGGTACTTTCTGGTGGTACTTTCTGGGCTTCTGGTAGTACTTTCAAAAACGTCATAAACGTCTAACGTCTTTTAGTTCCTTGGAAATCACGTTCTTCGCATACCCGTGTTTTGTCGGTCGGTTAACACATAGTGAGTGATGAGTACATTCTATGAGGTCAAGAACGAGTCTTTATAATGTTAAACCCAAAAATATGCGAGTACGAATTATTCAGCCTGAGTCTTCTCGACCATTAGTTTTTAAGATACCCCTGAAAGATGTGGCAAGAAGATACTACAAAATTTATTGTAGTTGACGAAGCCACTTCAGAAAAAAACTGATTAGTCCTTTAAAGTACACCTACCACTGACAGTAAATGACTTTGAAAAGAACAGCAACTGCTGCGACAGGCATTGCCTCTTTTGTTTATTATCACGATGAATAGTCGTCTATCGAGTCGGTCAAGGCGAATTACAGCTTTATGAGGCACTTAGATAGCATGGACGTGCAGCTCGTCCATGCTTGTATGACCACACTAGAATTCCATGCTGTTCTGTCGCTTGCAAGTCAAGGATTTGCCTCCTGTTTTTCGAGGGTTGTACCGAGCCAATGAAGCGGTGAATTCTTTGGTCAAAGGAATTAACGGTTAAAACGTATTTTTATTTGTCGGCATCTCTAAGGCTCGAAAACGATCCCTTTGCCACTTGCCACCGCGTTCCCTATAAAGGAAGTCTTAAGGATAACGATGTTCTGGTTCGAAATCAGATTTCGTAAAAAGTTTACGGAATTAAATGTAACTTCCGGAACTCATCACGATTAAGTGACAGTCTTTACAGTAGGCTGAAATCTTCGAAATAGGAAGTCTTCTGATCCATTTGTTATGTGTAAATTGAAAGACGATGCAAATAGATGGTTTAGGCCGTCGTTAGAATTACCGGAAAGTCAATATATATTTTTTAAATTAATTATTATTTAAATAATTTAAAACTAACAATGCTGTATCTATACTCAATGACGTCTGTTCTCTCAGTATATCGAATGCAAGCGACGAGCTGGTGCCAATCAGGCTCGTCATCCAAACAAGGCAACTGCACAATTTAGACCTATCACACAAGTGGTTTACCACCATGATATGCAGAATCATTGGGGATTGGCCAATAACATACACTAACCAATTATTCAAATAACAAAAAACGTTTTTATTTTAATATGTTA